CTACTACTACTACTACTACTATCTATTACTACTACTCGGCTGGAACGAAGTTCGTTCGCTATCGTCGCTCGACAAAATAGTATGTCTGCTGCACATGTCTGGAGATGCGAGATAGCCTGACTTGGATGGCTGCGAAAATGAATGTCTTCGTGGCCATTTTGGATAAGTCCCCCTTCAAGTCCCCCTTCATGGGGTGTAATTTTGAAGTATCCACCCTGCCCACCCTGGGAGATTGGCTAGACGAAGGTCGTCGCTCGCGCTACTGCTACTACTATCGTCCAAGAGATGTGCCCTGGGGATGGTGGCAGGATATCTTGGATAAGGCCTTGTGAACAGGGATACTACCGCTTGGATTACAGAGCTAATTTTTATGACCATGTGAATGGCTGATTAATACAACTTCTTAGATGCGAGCAAATCGAATACGAATCATTATAGCAGCCAGAGTGATAAATGCATGTTGTGAAACCTTGCATATGTATCTTTGTCGTAGGGTCCCTGAGTCAGCTGTGTAGCTTCCCAACAGAAGAGAAGCCCGCCAGATGCGTGAACCTAGTTTGACCATTGCAATTATTGAGACCAAATCCAAAATGTTATGTATCATATCGACAGAGGACAGCATATCATGATTTATGAATGCCATCTACAGTCTATGACATGAGACTACGAATGCCAGGAATCTGCTTGTGCAATACTTTCCTCATGCATCGAGGGAGAGCGTGGTTGTTGCAACCAGTGGTGTAGTTATGTTAGCATACAATGACGACCGATATCACATATAAACAGGCGCATAGCAATATCTTGCATGATGCGTGGACGTACCTGACATTTGACAATTGTGTATATTTAATTCTATACCTGAACCAGAATGAAAGTTTATGGGTTTCGGTTTAAGGAATGTTTGGTATGGCTATGTAGCATTTAGTTACGCATTTGATATTGTATATACAAAAGCTAGCTAAATAGACCCTAAAGGTATCGGGTTCATCTAAGCGAAGATACAAAGAAGACCGGTGGATCATGGGTGTGTGTGTGTATATATATATGTGTATATACACACTCACACGTGAACTTATCTGCAAGGAGTTCAAATCATGCATCACGTTGAACCCATGAAACTGCAACAATGCAAACACTGTTACGACAGTAAGCTTGCCTGCCTGTCTGCCAGCTTGTGCCTGCGTCCCAATGTATCGATATCTTCATCCCTTCCTACCTACTTCAGCCCTGACGGGTTTTGGGGCTTTATACTTTGCAAGCATAAAAGCCTCCTGCCCACGCCCTGCTGGTTTGCGACGGCAGTCCTCTTCCGGTGGTCATCCGTGTTTCACTGGTCGTTTGATTGCTGTTACCGCGACCACACGTGTTCGTTATAGTTTGCGAGATCGGCTTTCGTTACTCCCCAAAGCGGTTCCCGTCACTCCCCGCGCCCGCGCGCGCTCGCCCCGGCGCTGTATAACGGCGCTCGTGGAGTAGCGCTCAGGCGTGCCGTGCCGGGGATGATGCAAAAGGACGAGCTGCAGGGCATAGCACTCGAAGCGAATCCGGAATGCTTCCTTTTCGCTGGACTGGAGGAGCTGCGACGTGAGGTGCCCGGACGGACAGCAGTCACCTCCGATTGGAGCATTGAGAACAGCTTCATGCTTGTGCACTTTGAAGCGGAGCGCATCCTAGGCTTGAGCGGAAGGAGCAGCAGAAGGTGGGCGATGTCCGTGAAACATCTAGGCTCTTAGCTCAGTTAATTCGATCGCAGGTGGCACTGTTTCGTCCAACACTCATGGAGAACTCGTACAATGCACTTCGTGCTGCGTGGGGCTTATGTGTCCGCGACCTGCAAGCTTGGCTGAAGGATGCTCGACGTGTGGGACTTGGGTGCAGCGGGATGCCAGTCTAGCATGATGCATGCACTCCTGGTGGGCCAACCTCATCAGGTACACTTCTTGCATTGCCTGCACATGATGACGCCCGTGCAGCACGCAGCGCCTGAGGCCCCTTTGGTGCCTGGAGCGCAGCCTCCGCAAGCAGAAGGCCGGGCGCCCGGCTCCGCAGTGCCGCACTCGCACTCGTCTTTTGTGGCGGCGTTTTGGTTGTCCGATGAAAGTGGGGGTGGAGCCTCAGGTGATCAGCCAGGCCCCAAGTCTCGAAGCAGGGAAAAAGATCATGTGTGGCATGCATCTCTACTTAGCAGCAGCTCTGAGTTGTCTTTCGCCACTGTTGGTCAAGGGAATGCTCCAAGAAACGACGTGCTCAAGCCTGTAATGATACTGAGAGGTCAATTGACAATTGTTTCCCCATGTACCTCGCGATGATCTGGTTGAGAGCCTTAGTTCTCTGTTGGGCTACAGGCAGGTCTCGTGCCCAGCCGGTCATCAGAAACGGCGATACAACGCAGGACTACTTGAGTCGATATGGTATCCCCGTGGAGGAGCATTTCGTCCACACAGAGGACGGCTACATTTTGAGAGCCTTCCGGCTTCCGCAGAAGACTTCAAGTCCAGTGGTGATGCTGCAACACGGCATCCTCGCCTCGTCATGGTGTTGGCTCGTGAACACAGAAGACAAGTCGCTCGCAATCTCTCTGTGGCAAATGGGATACGACGTGTGGTTGCCTAACAGCCGTGGGAACACTTTCAGCCGTAATCACACCAAGCTGAAGCCGTTCTTGAATAAGCAGTTCTGGAATTATACTTTCGACGACATGGCGACATTCGACGTCATAGCTAACGTCAGGTATGCGCTAAATATCTCTGCAAAGGCAACACTCTCCTTCGTGGGTTGGTCTCAAGGCAGCACACAGATGTTCATAGCTGCTCAGGACAAACACCAGGACTTTTTGGACAAGCACGTGAATCTGTTTATAGCCCTGTCTCCAGTGACCTATCTCAAGCATCAATCGTCGCCTTTGCTGGCAGTCGCGAAAGATTTCCGTCTAGGGGTGCTATTGGATGCTCTGTTTCCTTACGACGTGTTTAGCTGGTCCGAGCTGCCGACCATTGGACGGTGGTTGTGCAAAGTTACGTTTGCACCATCACGGTGGATGTGGTCTGTGGCAGCTCGCCGCACGACAATGGAAAGGCAATTACCAACTTGGCAGCCCACTTTCCAGCCGGGACAAGTGTCAAAGACTTTGATCACTTTGAGCAGTTCTTGATTTCCGACAGGTTCGGACGCTTCGACTATGGCCGAGCAGGGAACATCAAGCACTATGGCACGCCAAATCCGCCGTCATATAATGTCTCTGCTTTGAAGATGCCTACGGCGCTCTTCAGGGGCTCAGAGGATACCCTGGCGGATCCTGCAGATGTCCAGCACTTACTACATGATCTCAGGGACAACAAGAATGTGGTGTTCTCAAAGGAGTACACGGGCTACTCACATGTGACATGGATGGTGGGTTTGGACGACGAGTGGATTTTTGACTTGAAGAAGTTGTTGAAAGATTTTAACCCGATCGAGACTGCCACACCTCTCCGGCCTCTCGGGACTGCCGTTGCTGGCCAAGCAGTTGCAAGCATCGTTGTGTGAGGGAGCCCGGTGGAGCTTGCTGCTTGAGCATCTCCATCGCTTCCCCAAGATGCTGCTTCGAGTCATTCGAGTGGCCTATGAGAAACAGTTGCATGTACCTCTGATATCGCCTTCGTGTGGAGTCGCATGGAGAAGTCTCTTCTGCAGTCTCGTTGCAGCCCAGGAAAAGCTGCGTGCCACGGCAACCGCGCTGGCCAAGAAATTCCTTCAAGGCGGAAGGAATGCTGACAGGTCTCAAGCTGTGAAATTCCATTCCATGCGAGGTCACATCAGCGCCTGCCGCAGCCCTCCGACTGCTGGAGAACCCTCTGCCAGGCTCAGGATTGTTCAGGAAGGAGGAGACGCTCACATCTGGCCTGTGAGGCGCACCTGTTGGCATTTGCAGAGCACCGCTGATCTATCGCGCCCGGTAGCCTAGACTGTATCTGCATTTTTTCGCACTTGTGCGATCCGTTTAGCCTTGCGCGCTTCTTGTGTTCAAGGTTCAGCCGAACGAAGGAGTGGCGTCTCTCGGCTTCGATAAGAACTGCTTCCCTTCGATGTACCACGTTTCCTGCGATGAGGTTGGGTTCAGAAAGCTGCTACATTGCCACAAGCGGCACAGAGGTGCGGACCTTAGTCTGTTCATGGATGCGGAGAAGGTGCCTCCAATCTCAGGTGGACAGTGTCTCAAGTCCGGGCGACTTCTGGCAGGCGAGCTCTGGATCAGTGGAGTTGGCCTATGTGCATGTTGCTACATGTTGCTGATGGTTGCTGCAGGGAGCACCTTGGCACCCTCAAGGTCCGCCACAGGCTGTGATGGCATGCGCATGGTTCCCTCGAAAGCAGTAGATATCAGCACTGCCAGGTGCAGATGCCATGCTTGCGCCTGTCCGAGGTGCACGGGGCGCTGCAACACGATGCAACATACACATCGCATGCTTCGACCCGGATTCCACTTCCAGGTCTTGCCTGGTCGCTCGGCAGGCCGTGGCATGCTGAGCGCTTTCGGGGAGCCATTCAGATGATGTGAGCGGTGGGACTTGAGGTGACAGCGCTGCCACACGTCTGCCATCACATGCTGAGAAGCCGAAGATCCCAGGCAAAGATAAAGCCTCGCTGTCTAGATGAGAGATGCAGTTTGCAGGTCTTCGACAGCGTTCAGGCAGTGAAAACTCGACGGCATTGACCTCAGACGTCATGTGCACGATCAATTCCAGCTCAGCTGGGGCCGAAGGAATCTGGAGCCTCCGGTTCCGCCGAGGCAGGTTGCAAACTGACATAGAAGCTCAGGAACGAGTGGCAGCTGAAGGCACTGTCAAAACTGGTGCTTGCATGTCTCGCTCTCGTCCGGGCTGCATAGCAGGATGCTTTTCTCAACATTCTCCAGCATTTCGGAGAACAGGCGTCAGTCAGTCTCTGCCAGCATCTCTGTGCCCTAAAGTCTCGTCGTACTGCTGTTCCACGCCCCGGCAAGAACCTTCGGAACCAGGGCTCGACGAAACAATACGTACGACCACAAGATGTGCGTGTCGAGCAGAGGCAGCTGCCAAAGCAGCGAGAGGCGCATGCAGCATCGCCACTCGGAATACACATGAATACAGCAGAGTGAGAACATCTACGCCATGTTGGACCAATCTTGCGATTCTTCAATTCAGCAATCTGCTTGATCTCGAGCCGGTGCACCCGTGTCCTGCGAGTAGAAAAACGCGGGCAGCTGCCAGTTCTGAGTCATCAGGATCATGGATGACCGTGCGTTCGCACAGTGAAGGCCAATCAACTAACAAGAGTTTCCAACGCGCCTTGCCGAACTGCAAGTATAATTGGCGCCAATAGGAAATGCAGCCGGGAGTGCTACGCAAAAAAGATCTGTTTCCAGGACCGGAACTTGTCTGCACCGGCCAACGAGTTTGGAGACATGCATAGCACCTCAGCACGAAATTGTCTCAACGTTGAGCCGTTTTCTTCTCCCCTCGACGCCTGGGGAGACTTTCGTTAATCTTCCACTCACTGTCCAACACCTGGCAGGGCAGTGCAAAGTCCGCAGTGCTTGGATCACCCGAGCTTCCAAGCAGGCAGGCACCCACAGTGGCAACAAGTGACGCCAACTGACTGCGTGCTCGGAAAGGGGATCAGCTCTTCACGCATGGAGGGCATGTAAGCCATGCGCCTTCGTTTTCCAGGACCATGTGTTGCCCACCAGCTTCAAACAAGTATTCTGAATCAGACTTGCCTGCAGGAGGGCTGTCAGAACAAGGAGCAGTGCGACTTCTGCCACCTGTGCGAGCCCGGCGAGTATGGGGCTCAGGTTTGTTGTCTTGGTAGCCATGCCAGCAGAGCCACAGCACCCGGCTCCAACATAGGACATAGGAGTTTGGGAGCGAAAACCGGGCGTGTTTTTTTTATAATGATCGTTGAAGGACGAGTGGGTGATTAGAAATAACAGGCATGCAAATAGGAATTACTCTTGCAGCTTTTCTTTGGTGTGTGCGCTGTGAGCAGGCGCAAGAGGCGCAAGAAGGAGCGGCGCCTGGCAAAGCGCGAGGCACATGAGTTCAACGCGGCGTGTCGTCAGTCGTGACCGTCATGTCGGACATCTGCAGACTCTGTGATTCGTTGAACTGCAGATTCAGATAGAAGCAGCGAGCGCGAGCAGAGCACACGTTTGTTCCGCTTTGCCCACAACTGCCGTTTTGGGCCCTGAAATTTTTGTAAGGGAAATCACCAGGTGATCATCTGCTCAGGTGTCTCCGGGCCTTCAACGAAAACGGCTGAATGATGTCCTTCACAAGCTTGGGCGAGACACCCCTTATCGATGGTATTCTTTGCGGGGCAGGGCACCGCTGGCCGTCCACCGTCCACCAGCCCGTATTTACACCTGTGATGAATTGGCCCAACTCTGAGCTTCAGCTCATTGCGCACAAGGTGCGTCAGGTACGGGCATTGGCCCTGCGAGCTCGTCTGGATTTTGAGTCTAAGTGACTCCCCGCCCAGCCCGACCCCTTTTCGGATCGACTTCTGCCTTCCCCAGTTCTCGCTTGAGCCGGCTACTTTCAGCTGCCTCGATTGGGTGAGGTGGATGCCAACAGGCTGTTTGGGGTAATTGACCCTTGGCGGGGGCAGCCTGTAAGGCTGGGGCTCGAGCTTGCCGGTGTGCTGGCCTTGTTGGGCGTCCGTCCGGGGGGCATGGCGGCCGCTTCTTGCCTTCCCTGGGCGGTCTGCTTTTGACGGGGTCGGCCGCGCACCGTTTGTTCTTGTCTCTTGACAAAGATCATCTTCGCTCTTCAGCGCAGCTCGTGACAAAACTCGTGGGAGAGGGGCTTGAGCACTAATTGTAAAGCAGAGTTGTTGTTTGCAGATTTGGTGTTGGGCCAACAGATTTTCGGGGGCCGTTGCTCCTGATATATCAGGGGCCTCTGTGTCAGCAGACGGGGACCCCCCCTCAACACAAAAAGTCTTATTCGGAAGGCTGCTTTTTTGATGAGGGAGAGACCCCCCCAATGGGTCCGTATAACCGACGGCAGAACAGCTAACATGCGGCAACATAGCCGCAGGGTACATGTGCACGGCTGAAGACAGCAGCATCGCCTCAGACTGTTTCACGCTCACCGCAGGCATCCTGCCCGACTCGTTGTTGACAAGCACAATCATCGGCGAGCTTGTAGCATGATAAACAATTTAAAGGCTTTAGAGTTGTTTCTTGCATTGATGAACGACCTTTGCCACACGCATGCAAGCTCAAACTCAATGTCTCTGTCAAACTTGGTTGGATAGCAGGACCTCTTCAAAACGGGATGGCAATACTTGCTGCACTGCTCACGCGCACACGACTTGCGCAATTGCAGGCACGAGAAGGTGAGACAATGCCGTAATTGAAGTGTCCAGGACTTGGTCCCCAGCGTCAAGCTTATATTGTGCATGCAGCCATGATCAGCCATGACTACATTTGAGGCTCGGTCTTTCTGACGTCCGAGTTTGTGACATTCTGCTTTCTGACCCGTGCCAACTGGCGCAGAAGCGTCGATAGTTTCAGTTGTTAAATTCGGACACAGGCTGCTTCGATCCAGGCAAAAAGTCTGGCAAAGATGAAGCGCCACCGGTTACGATGCAGGTCTCATTTCTGCTTCCGACATACCAAGGCTTGATCCTTGTGTCTGTCATTTAGCTATCAGAGGTGTGTGTGTGTGTGCGTGTGTTCGGATTCAAGATGTTTGGAGCTGGATGTTTATCGGAAGCCAACATGTCTCCTGCCAGTGTTTCACCGTCTGCACAGTCCTGCAAGAAACGGCACAAGCGTTCGTGGTGCACATGCCTGCGTGGCAGCCGCATCCATGTGCATAGTCTAATCCAAGCCACTCTCTATCTCTTCAGCGTCGTGGTGTCGATGCTGGAGATCGAGCTGGGCCCATGGACAAGGCAAGCATCGCATGTCGCAGCTAAGCCAGCTGAGCCAGCTAAGTAACATGAGCCCCATCGGAAGGCCATGCTTGGCGGCAGGGAGGATGGACTGGAGTGCGCAGCACGGTCTTGCTTGCATAGGCTCCGGTTCCAATCACACGCAGTACGAAATCATCTGAGGCTTCTTCAGTCCATGCTTCCACACACTCGGATAAACATTGCGTGCCGGGCTCAATGGCAAGCTGGACGTCCTTTATGCAGATGCTCCGTGCGATGTTGGCCGGGAACAGCCACATTGCCGGGAAGATTGTCGCAGTGAGCTTTTCACGTCCAGTTCTTTCCTGATGCATCCTGTGCCAGGCCTGGACAAGGTGTGAGTCAGAGCGGGGGTGTGCGGCGCTGAGTAGAAAGCGCCGCTCATGCGCTTACATGTTGATGGCAATTTGCGACAGGCTGCTTGATTCAGCATTTCGCGCTTCTGTCTTTTTTGTCACATCCCAGTGCCCCTTCATGCAGTTGGATGCCGAACCTTGCTTTTACAACCTGCCTGCTTCCCTGTGCCCTGCTTTGCCCAGGCTGCTTTGCGTCATTTTGTCATGCTGGTATGCTGCAGAATTGCTTTCGCCCTACGGCCCTACAGCTTGTTTTTGCTTTCGAGGCAGCTCCTTCGACACCAGGCACTGGGAGTTGTTGTCAGTCTGTCAGTGGCCCTTCCGACAGCAACCGCAGCTGAAAGGCATCAGACCTGGTCTGGCGAGGGCGCCGTACAGTGTACCACAGCTCGGAAAACGTGTGGATCAGAAGTTCAAGTTCCCGGACTGTGACTGTGGCCTAGGTGCCACCGAACGGCAATCCATACGGCTTGGGCAACGGGCTGAGAATGGCTCCTTTCACGCACATCTCGGATCGCTCAGCCGCTTTGAGGCCCTGCGGAGCTGGCAGCCGACATGCGGAATGCGGCCCTAGGCCAGGCCTCCTGGAAATTAGCTGGAAAAGCTGAGAATATGCAGCGTGGTCGAATGCCAGGAGCAATAAACCCTCTGCACAGAGGTCTGCACCCGGAGCTTGCAGGCAGAGACAGAGCGCGTCAAAGTCTTCCGGGACGGTCCTATAGATTGAGTGAGCCTGGGGTTCTTGGCAGCCCTGGCCGCGTCGGCGACGAAACCATCAGCTGCACACGCAGCTGGAGGCCGGGGATGATTTTAACACATTTTTACACCCTCTGGCTTGAGCCGACATGCAAAACGCCATTCAGCATCAGACTCTTTCAGCAAGGCTGCCGTCTAGCTAATTAGGGTTGAAGAGTTCTTCCTCCCGGCGTGTCCGCCCATCGGAAGCCCGGGTAGGGCCAAGAATGGGAGCAGCAACGTGCAAAGCAGCGCATCACTAAGTCCAGCACTAGAGTTCAGCAGTTCCTACTTGGGAGCCGTAACCGCCAAACAGTTTGGAGGTGTCTGCGGATGCACGGCGATATCCATCCATCAAGCGCTACCTCCGCACAGTGCTTCTGTCTAGTAGGATCCTGGATTTCTGCAGCGGGTGAAAACACGATTTGCTACGTCGTGGTGCAAGAGGACAGCACGATGGCCACCCCCTCGTAAAGGTACTGGAGAGGGGGGGGGGGATTGCTGTGAGTGGTACCTACTTCCGGGGGCTATTTCGGGGGAGTGGGGGGGTGGGGACAAAGATAGGTACCGGGAGAGATGGGGACCGTGGTTCTTGTATTATTGCCCCTCCAACAGGTACCGGTACCTATTTCCGACCCCCCCCTTGATCACCCACACCCAGAATTTTCGGAGTACCCACACAACCCGCTCTGGAGGGAAGCTGGCTGGTCGCTAGAGTCCGGCTAGAGATTTTCTTCGCGCGACGGGATTGTCATCACTGCCGAAAACAGAGCCAATCTGCTAGTTCCGCGTGTTGCTTCACCTGCCTCGTATTTGCAGTTCTTGCTGCTAGGTTGTATTGACGGTGCTTACTACCATCATCATTGTCGTTGTTGTGGATTGTAAAAGCTGGCATCTGCCACTGGTGGTTGTGGTTGTGCTAGCTAGTTGTTGCGTCGTGGGTCACGGGCTCTTCAGCATTCGGGATTCTTCAGGCTTTAGGGCGTTTGGGTTGAGGGTTTGGGTTCTTTGGAGTTCCTGGTTCTCCGGGTTTGGGCGTAGTGTAGGGTTTTGCAGCCGTTATGGTGTGAGAATCAAAGTCTGAAAGTGAGGGTCAGACACACATGCGATGCACGTGTGATCCAGACGTGTGCAGTTGACCTCAGCCGCTGACCGCGACACATGGCTCAAGCGAGCAGAAAAGATCGACAGCCGTTGCCAGTGCGTTCTCGCACTGGTAGCGGAGCGGGTGAACCGCTTGATTTCGGGCGACCTTTGGAGAGCCCACCGTCTATGCCATGGCTGCAGGCACTTTGCTGGACAGCCTACGTTTCGCCCGTTTCATCCACGATCAGGATGAAGCAGGAGGCGCGGCTACAGAAAGCCGCCCTGGAGTACCTCGCTACAATGGAGATGCTTCGAGACTGAACGAATGGGTGTTCAGAGTGAAGATGCTGGCCGAGAAGGAGAAGTCCATCTCCGAGACCGAGGCCAAGAAGCTTGTGAGCCTTCCCCTGAGGCTCGTGGAAGGACTGTCCGGACAAGCCCTGAAGATAGCACAACAGCTGGATGTGAGCAAGCTTGCTGCAGATGGTGGCACCGACTACTTGATCGAGAAGATATCTACGGAACTACGACCTCGCCGAATGCAGCAGGCAAGAGAGCTCTACGAGGCTGGAGCTCAGCAGGGCGGAATCCTCTCCAGACAAGCTTCAGAGTCGATGGCGCAATATATATTGCGTCGTCGAGCCTGGTACAGGGCCATGACCGACCTCAGCACGGACTTGAAACTTCCGGATTTGGTTCTGAGCGAACAGTTGTTGCTGAACGCTGGGCTGAACGATGACCAAAGGCTTATGATAAGAACCGTGGTGGGCGAGAAGATGAACTTCGACCGCGTCGCAGAAGAGTTGGTGAACCAGCACCCCCGCATCCACGAGAAGAGCGCCTACCACCCCTTCCGGAAGAATGCGTTCAAAGGCTTTCCCAGTTCCTCGTCACCACCCAAGGGCGGACCAAAGGGCTACCGGCCGAAACCACGGTACTACAACGCCTTCCATGCTGACGGCTTGGACGAGGAGAATGCCTACCCGGAGATGAACGACGAGGGTTATCAAGAAGATGGCCAGGACTATGCGAACGAGGAGACGGGCCGCTATGACTACGAGAACCCCGTCTTCTTCGCCGAAGCCGAGATCGGTACCTACGCCGAAGAGCACCTCGCGTACCTGTCGGAAAGTGGCTTGGGTATTGAGGATCAGGAGGCCTGCGAGTTTGCCTCCGAACTCATCCAATCCGAGCAGGACGCCTACTACGCGAGGAAGGGAGCAAGTCACAAGGGCCACGGAGGCTTCACCAAGGGGAACTCTCCTCCCTTTGAGATCAGTGGCTCGATCAGCCTTGACGACGAAAGGGCACGCCTTCGAGCCCTCAGGGCTCGAACGACGTGCAAACGCTGTGGTGCAGTGGGACACTGGTCAGGGGACTATGAATGCCCCCTGTCGAAAGGCAAGAGCAAGAAAGGTGGTGGAAAGACCTCATCGAGCACTTCTTCCTCTTCCGGAACTGGAACCCTGCAGTATCCTGGAGCGAAAGGACGACATGGCAAGCCCAATCGTTCTCGGACGGTCTACTTTTCCATATCCGAGGCCGCAACAAGCCACCCGACAGCGCTCAGCTAGCCTATCGACGTGACCATGCCAGGCCACCCACAGCGCCTCCACCAAGGGCAAGTGACGATTGGTCGGTTATGCCATCTATGAGGGCGGTACCACCGCCCACCACGCTCCTGGATGACAACAATGCTACCTCTACGCCAGCGAGGACAACACAAGACGAGATTGGCGACAATTGGAGTGTGGTTATTTCCCCGGCGATTGAAGAGTCTTCGCTGGAAGGAATGTGGCTTCCAATGGACACCGACGACCCCGAGACGCAAGACCTCCTGGAAGCATTGTCTATGGACGCTTTAGCACCCGAGCCGCGGATGCTCAATGAGAATGCCCTGGCGACGACCGCAGCTATACCTCTTCCTGACCGAGCACCACCAGTACAAGCTACAACGACGGCAGCGATACCTCTTCCTGATCGAGTACCACCAGTACAAGCGACAACGACGACAGCGATACCTCTTCCTGATCGAGTACCACCAACATGCACAACAGAAGTCCAAGAGCGCGTTCCTACTGGACCGACTGCGACTACTCCGTCGACTTCCTCTACTACCACGCCGAGTCCCTCAGTGTCAACCGGAGGCCGACGAGAATGCCAGCACCTACGAACTACGGCACATGGCTCCGACAGCTTTGTCCATCAGGTCAAGTGCAAGGATTGCGGATTCATTATCTCCCGCCGCACGAGGCGAGACCTTCCCACTACGACTACGCCTGGGACTTCACCTCGTGCCCACACCACTGGACTACGTGCAGAGGCTCCAATGGATCCATGCGCATACGGACCTGTCGAGATTGTGGCCATCGGGAGCGATTTGCCGTGACCGGACCCCAGGACAATCACGTGATGACTATCTTCCGCGCCACAACCACTACGAGGAGAACAACGTTGTCACCCTCGATCGCATCCCGGGGATCCTTCAGACGTTCCAAGACTTGGGTGGTGAGACGAGTGCAGGAGCTGGAGAGTGGAACTGAGGTACCCTCCAGACGCCTCCACGAAGCTCTTGACATCTCCATTGCCACAGCTACTACATGGAGCAGGCTAAGTGGACAAGCCGGATCCTCAACGGTGACGTCCGGAACCTCCTCTACCAGGCGGTGGAAGAAGATATGGTGAGTCCGACCACTACCACAACCTGAAGGCCCGTGGACTCAAGGTCGTGGAAATGGGCTGATACAAGCACGGCCAGTATGCCGAAGCCTATGCGGACACGGCCTACCGCAAATGGGTTCTGGACAACGTCGGTGCAACAAGTGCCTCTGGGATGAAGGCCATGAGAAACCACTTTGATGGCCCTCATGGCTATCCAAGACAACCCAGACCGCATCGAGGAGCAGGACCTCATCGCCATCTTGGACACAGGATGCAATCAAACGTGTCATGGAGACAGATGGCTGGAGCGATATGTTCGGGCCACCAAGCAGCCACTCCCAGAAGCAGACACGACCACGGAAGTCCGCATACGTGGCGTCGGAGGGCAAATCAGGACCTCCGGAACCAGGAAACTCCCGTTGATCCTGGAGCTGGTGAATGGAGGCTTGGCGCAAGGTGACCTCGCGAGTACGGAGCTCATGGACTCCGACGCCCCGCTCTTGATCTCCATGCAGGCTCAAAGAGCTCTTGGGTTGATCATCGACATCGCCGGTGAAGTGGTCCACTCCCAGACATTGGGCCACGACCTCAAGTTGGCCCATAAGGATGGACTACTGGGCATACGACTTCTACCGGCAGGCGATGATGCAGAAGAAGATGACGCAGCACGACGTGATGATCAATCTGAGGGAGAACCTGCGGGAGAAGATGATGAGCTTATTCCGGCGATGCCAGCCGGCAGCCAGGTCGATGAGATGGACAAGGAGGTCGCCTACTACACGTTTGACGCCGAGAAGGCCCGGGTCATGAACAAGACCCAGCACTTCCGAGTGAAGGAAGGCGTGGATGGAGTAAAGTCCAAGGACCGGCACATGTGGAACCAGATCAAGCCGAGTCGACACCGACGACATCATGAACTACCACGAGGTTGCAAGACTTTCTTGCTTGAGGTGTTTGCTGGAGCCGCGATGCTTGCACAAATGGCTCTTCATGAGTGGTCTATGCCTGTGACTCCTCCAGTGGACTTGAACACCGGCTACGACCTGCTCACCACGCAAGGCCGTGACGAGGTAGACCGGATCATCGCGCGGGACGACCCCTTCGCCACCACCTTTGCGCCGGTGTGTACCCCCTGGACGTCATGGACCAACATAGCCACCGGGACAACTAAGAGCAAGATCATGGCCGAGCGCAAGAAGTGGCAGCCAGCGCTGGCTTGGATGTATGAGGTGGCCAAGGACCGTCTGGCAAAAGGGCGACATGTCGTCATAGAGAACCCCTGGAACTCAGCCATGTGGGATTGTGTTCAGTCCCAAAGGTTCTTCCGTGCCAGCCCTCGAGACCAGGCCACGCTTGAGCCCATGGAATGTGTGAAGGTGGATCAGTGCATGCTTGGCTTGAAGGACGACATCAGCCACCTACCGCACCTCAAGCCCACCGGATTCCTCACTGCCTCATCTGAGGTCAAAAGCAGATTGGTTGGAGCTCACTGCGACGGATCCCACCAACACCAACAGCTGGACATGAAAAGCGCTGCATGGCAGCGCAAAAGCGGGCCGCGTGACCTGTGTACGGTCATCATCCAAGGCTTGGTGGCAGAGCTCGACTACCTCCTCACCATGGTGGCCTTTCCGGCTGAAGCCCAGACTGAGCTCGAGGTGATGTCGGATGACGAGGGAGACGAGAACACCTACCTCGACGGGATCCACGAGCCGGGCGACTTTGCCTACGACGATGGCCAGGACTACGCGGAAACAAAAAACAAGAAGAGTGGGAGATTATCTACGATGAAGGTGAAGTTCCTCCACCTCCGCAACCCGTTGGCGAAGCTCTTGAACGACGACAACACCAATGGCGGCAACTACCTTACAACACCGGACTTGCTCTACGAAGGTTGCATACTATGACCGGCCACGCGCCACCCTCAGCAATGCAGCGACTTCTTAGAACCGCCGGAGCAGACGCCAACGCCATCAAGGCCCTGGACAGCTTCCGATGTGCTACGTGCGAAGCTAAGAAGGTTCCGGACAAACCTTCTCCGGTCAAGATGCCGGAAGAATACCGCTTCAACAAGGCAGTGTCGCTTGACGTGTTCATCGTGAAGGACGCTCTGAACAAGAAGTATAAGGTGATGTCTGTTGTGGACCTCAGCGCTCTATTCCATGCGCCAGTGATTGTTGGCGAAGGAGGAGGCCCACCCAGCTCAGGGGACATGGGCAAGGCTATGCAGATGATATGGTTTTCCTGGGCAGGGCCCCCAGAATCGATCGTCTTGGATCGAGGACTTGAAAATCGAGGGCAACTTCAGAAGCTGATGACTGCTCATGGCGTACAGTTGCGCTATATCGGAGTTGAGAGTCCGTGGCAACTTGGCCGCGGTGAAAGACATGGCGGTCTATTGAAAGAAGTGATCAAGGCTGTGGTTACTTCCCGACAACTACGTGGAAGGCAGAACATGGAGTTCGTGGTGACTGAGTCAGTTGGCATAAAGAACCACAGGGTGAACCACAATGGATTCTCACCGTCGCAATGGGTACTCGGGCGCAATCCGCCCGACCTGGAGTCGCTCACTGCACTCCTTCCGGAGGCCAAACTGGGCGTCCACCAGGAAATCCTCGACGGCGAAACCAGCTTCGCTCAGCAAATGATGGTTCGCGGAGCAGCCAAGGAAGCCTTTTCACGCGTGGACAGTTCGCAACGAACCAGAGCTGCGATGCTGAGGAAGAGTGTTCCTGGACGAGGACCATTCCATATGGGAGATTTAGTCTGCTTCCACTGTCGACAAGGGAGCAAGGCAGGATGGAAATGGTTTGGCCCGGCCAGATTGATTGGCCAAGAAGGGAAAAGCACCCTCTGGGTCTGTCATGGAGGGATCCCAATGACGGTTTCAGCTGAACAGTGCAGGCATGCTACCGGACTGAGATGATGGCCAAAAGGATGTTGGAATTGAGACCATCCAGGAAAAGAGGCCGAGAAGATATGGCTCCGGACGTGGATGATGCCGGAGAAACGAACGACGACCCCTTCCTCGACGACCTCATCGGAGTCGGCACGGTCGCCGAGAACCAGCAGAAGGCTTCGCGACTCTGCCGGCACCACACCGCCGGCCTTGAACGGGCCAGAGGGCTCGAACGGACAGGAGATACCCGGACTTCATCCACCACCACCTGGTCTCTCTCCTGGTGTTAGTCAAGTTCAACAGCCGCATCTTGGGGGTCCCGTACATGTTCAACAGCCGCATCTTGGGCCTTGGGGGTCCCGTACCAGACATGCCAGATGTTCCAGGCAGCAGCGTTGGGTCCCCATCTATGTCAGCAGGAGAACCAGAACAGGAGCTCGTTCCGTCAAGTCGTGACACAAGTGGTCAGCCAGATTTACTACAACCTTCACAGTCCTCAACTTCGAATGGACCGAACACGAGCCGTGCTCCTGAACCACTTCGTCCTCTACAGCAAGCACTTCGAATCTCTCCAGATGCCGTAGATGGTCATCCTCGCAACCGACACCATTCAAGGTCACCACCGCGAGCGATGATGACAATCAGTGAGAACTCAGAAGTTGGCAAATGCTTTCATGGATTCCTGGCCAGGCGCCTCAACAAGAAGAGTGCCGCAGCAAGAGCCAAGGAGTTGAACTTCACGAAAGCAACTGGAGAGGAACGAGAAGGGATACAAGAGGCGAGAAAGCGCGGATGGGGCAATTGGCAAGGGTTCGATGCGGTGGAGGTTATTCGCTGCTCGATGACTACCTCCACGTGGGTTGCAGCGGGGCTCCTTGGAAAGCAGGAGCAGCGAAAGTCATCAGAACTGGCCATTGGGCCACGAGACAAGAAAGATCAAGAAAAGCAAAGAAAAGATGGTCTCAAGCAAAATCACGAAGTGCAAAAGAAGAATCAAGAGCCAATGACGGCCATTCAAGAGGCATCGATGCCCAAAGAAAAGAAAGCTGAGCAGAAGTTCGCTCGAGTGCAGGGTTCACGGGTTGGGTTTCGCCTTCCTTTCGGGGTTTGGCTTTGCCTTTGTTCGGTCTCCCAAGCTTCACCTTGAGTTGCTGAAAGCCACAAGTGCGAGTAATGCAACTAGCAACCGCTGCCCTTTGGGCTGCCCTAGTAGCTTCGTCACGCCATGTGTTGCTGAACACATGGCCTACCTCGAGTTCCTTTACACGTTCCATGGTGGTGGCGACGTTCGGAGCGAGTTCGACGCTTTGGATGGGCCTTACCTGCAAAATGATTTGGCTGTGGGCTTACCTACAGTTTTGTTCCCGAGTTCTTGTGTCTTGATCGACAGTGACGTTGGCTTACCCACGTCTCTTGTTGCTCTTCAGAACCTTACCTCACACTGTGATTCTGTATCCAGTTCATGTGAGGACCTGTTTGAGAGAATACTTTCAGTTTGGCAAACCCCACAGTGTGGGAAGTGGCTTTTCATGACTAACATAGTGTGGAGCCATGTTGTTGTTCTTCTTGCTACTCTGTTTCATCAGGGGCGCAAACGTAGGAAAGTCAAAGAAATCAAGCCTCGACTCCGTAATCGCTTTCTCCTCTCCGTCACTCACTTCACTCGATTTGTTGGCGTGGGAAAGAGTCGATCTCGAGGTTTGTCTGACCTTCGCTGTCTCGCTAGTCGACGGTTTCTCCGCACCAAACTTACGCCTCGCGCTCGACCCTCGTCTCTGCCCACGAGGAAAGTTTGCGTTGTGTGTGGCGCATGCAGATTTGTCGGAGAAGGCAGAGGAAAAAGGCGGAGGCTCACGAAAGTGCGGCCTTACAGACGACGCTGCAGCAAGAGAGTCCTGCTTCGACTACTCAGGTTGTTAGCAGGCAGACCCACATGTGACCGTGCTAGACGTAGAGCGCGGAGCATTTGCAGATCTCGTCTCCGGACTGAGACAATGCTCATGGCTCCTACCTGCTTTCAGGATCCCAGTCGGGGCCTTAACTCTGAGGCCCTACAGTCAGATGAGGCCGCTGACCCAGCGCAACAGATCCGTCAGCAGGTGGCAAACTTATGCCAGCAAGCATCTTCAGACGTGTCTCCCTCAGACTCAGTGGACGCCAAGGCCTCAGTCGCGGTCGACACCTCAGAGCCCTCCTGTGCCTCTGAGGGTGGCGCACTTACGGTCCTGGGAGTCTGGTTTTGCTACGGTTTTGCCTTATGCTGTGGCATGGGCGCCTTTGCATACCTTCTAGGTGCGCGGATTGGGGAGGCCTCCAATCCAGGGCCTCATGGATCTCGCAAAACAGCAAGGAAGCGCGAAGAGACAGAGACAGCTGACTTGAAGGAAGCTTTGTTACAGTTGCTCCAGAGGTTCGTGCCACCCCAAGGTAAGGCTGCCCCTAAAGGGAAACCAAAGGGCACTTCCGAAGGAAACAAAGGGAAAGGCAAAGGAGCTAAAGGACAAGCGGAGCGGTCTCCCTGCTCCCCTCCTGGCCCCACCCTTGCGCAGCGCCTTCTCGGTGTGTTGAACGCGGCGATCAGGGAGGGATGGTCTGATGCTCATGTTGCTGATGCCATGCTCAAATCGCTGGAATCCCCACAAGGGGTCCCTCAGGACACTCCCAGGACCCCGCACTCAGCTGCCACTGACCTTGGTCAAGGTTCCGCTGCTCGTCAAATAGCTCTTGGCAAAGGCAAAGGACCAGCGCCAGCGGCACAAAGTTTTTACCCTTCAGGCCCTGCTAAGGCTAAGGGTAACCACCCCAGTCAAGAAAGGAACGAGGCCCACAAGGTCCCCACTCCTGACCCCGTCTCTAACAACAAGCACACCTCCCCGAAGCCTGTCCACAAGCTTCAAGGACACGAATGGGCACAACAGCCAGTGCTCACTTCCCTAGGAGCCATGCGCAAAGCCCTCGAGGACGGAAAAGAGCTCCCAGGCAACGTGGCGGTCGTCGATGATGAGAAGAGTGCCCGCTCCATCAAGGACCTGTGGGCTGCTTACCAGTGTTCAAGCCCGTTCACGCTGTGCTTGGTTCATCAGGAAGGGAAGAGGCCCAAACTTGATGGCCTTACCAGAGAAGCTGTCATTTCTGCTTGGCGACAAGGTAGTCCCAGACACAGCATGCTTAGGATCACCTGTGAACAACTTGCTGCCACTGCGGGCCCTCACCCCAAGCAAGCCATCACCACCAGGATCCCTCTCACCTCTGCCTCACCAAGGGTGACTGTCAGATTTTCTGCCCCACAACATTATCGTCAGTTCATTCCCGGTGTCGAGAAACCTGATTCTCCCAGCGTTGTGATAGCCGAATGGTCAAAAATGCTTTCCTGCCCATTGGCCACCCTTACAGGAGGACGCTGGGAATCTTTCCAGCACAAGCAAACTTCCACCTTGGTAGGACACTTACGGCTCACGCTTGCTGAGGCCGACAGAGCTGTCGCGCTCAGTGGTACGAGAGCACTCTTTGCAACGAAACTCGGGAGCCCCAGCTCAAGGCCCCTCGTTGCTTGGCTGCCGCGCTCTAAGGAGGAATCGTGTGAGGCTTACATGCGACGAGCCTCAGCTGAAGCCGCGAAGCGGAAGACTACTCAGGCCCTCCGCCAGGGCGGAGGTGCTGATTTGGGTCTTCTTGGCATAGATCCAGGCGAGTTCGAGCAAATTGGTTCGAGACTTTACGTATGCCACTTTGCGCCAAAGGCTTTGGGCTCAGTGTGACATCAGTGCCTTCCTTTTGAGTCAAGGATGGAGACAGATCAAGATCATTAGTCGACGGCGTAGCTGGGACAAGGGCTCCCCACCTGAATGGCTCTTTGAGGGTCTGAAACCGGAGGGGTCTGACAAAGCCCAAACTACGTGGACCTACGCCGACGAGGATCACGCTATCAGTGTTGGGCCCGCTCCCCCTGGTAAGAAACCCAACTTCAATGCTACTGCCGTCCCGGGACCCAAGAAGCGTTGGGTTGACAAGGATCTCACTACTGCCCAATTTCCCCGTTCTGGCCACCCCTCGAAAAAGGATAGAAGGAAGGAAGCTGAGGGTGAGGATGCTGAAAAGAACCTCAGACAGAAGACAGACATCGAATCTCGCATCGAGGTCCCTGATCTTGACCTTGATGATGAGCCGAACATCTTTCGGCCTACTCAGATTGACTCCATCACGGTAGTAGGCAGTGAGCCTGATCCTGACCTGCTGAGTGAAGAGGAGGCAGAAGCTAGAGCTGATGCCCTTCTCTTAAGTCAGGCTCCTGATGGTTGGAGGCTCCATGACCAAGGTGGTCAAGGAGACTGCTTTTTCAAAGCAGTCGCGTGGAGGCTGGCAGATCAACAGGATGTCAGCCTCGATGCTGCGGCCCTAGATCGGGAAGCCTCGCGCCTCAGACTCTTGGCGGTGGGGCATATTAATGCGCATGCTTCAAGGTTCAGTGAGAGTTGGGCTGCGGATCCCAACGAGCTGCCTGTTCATAGAGCGGGAGTTGAAGAGCCCATCACTTCTTTCGCTGGCTATAAGACTGCCGCCGCCAATAAGAGATTTTGGGCTGACGGAATGCTCATCCAAGCACTCAGCGAACGGATAGGGTCTTGCTTTGTGATTTGGAGTTGGGAAGCTGACAAGGATCATTGGAGCCGCTCTGTCGTCGCACCCTTTTATAGGGAGGGAGTTGCCCAGAGATCCAAAAAAGGCTCGCACATCGTCTTAGCCCTCCGTAACTGGCATTACCGTGTTGTTGCGAGTAAGCACTCGGATGACACTTGCCCCACTGCTTGGCTTAGGCAAACCGATGAGAAACCTCGATGGGAACTTCGGGGAGGAGGGAAGCACTCCCAGGGCAGCTCGTCGTCCTTCAGAGTTTCCTCCACTCGCGGCAGGCTTCGCCTTCCCTCTGCGACCCCCTCAAGACGGTCCTCGGTTTGTCCTAGCGAAACGCTACCCCGTGACGAGGGCGATCCACTGCGAGTCCCTAATGGTCCCGTGCGGTCTCCCAAGGCCTCTGCCTCGACTGTCCGGTCGTCTGGTCCCCAGTCTGCGAGGCTCCGCCTCCCCTCTCTGACTCCCTCTCGTCAAGGTTCTTGCGCCTGCAGTACTGGGCAAGCCACCGCAGGCCCCTGTTCTAGACTGTCTGCTCCTAAGGGTCCCGTTTTCGGTCAGAGAGACCCTAAACCTCTGCCCGCCTCAGGATCTTCTGCTGTGCCTTCGGCTAGTGGCCCTTCGAAGGGCAGGAAGCGTAAGTACGAAGAGCTGTCGTTGC